AGGTTATGAAATTTCTGGTAGTAATGATGGTCAATCTTCGGTTGTTGGCAGTCACACTCATACTAATGGTAACGAAATTAAACAAAATAGTTCTAATCAAATAGCCAGTGATATGGACTTCCGCAAGATAACAATTAGTTCAAAATAGAATATTAAGTATCCTATGTATTAGTATATAATCGTGTACCCAATTTTATTTAAATCCGTTCACCCTGCTTAGAGTTAAGGAAAAAAGACAAATTATTAGACCTATTGAGGACAGAAGGGGATAAATGTTGGGACACTTGATACAACACGATGAACTTATGAACATTATAATAGAAGGTAAGATAGAAGGAAGGAGGGGGAGAGGGAGACCGAGACATAGTTACATCAGGCAGATCAAGGAAGGAGATGGTGTCGTGTCGTATCAAGAGGTGAAGGAACTCGCTGAAAATCGTAGTGAGTAACAAGAGCTCCACCGACAAGAGCGTAGCTCTTAAATAGGATAGATAGACCCATTTTAATATGATTAAGTACCTTACAAAAATGTCTTCATGACAGACCTTTATGGCAGTCTATGGGGGAGACTTATGTCCAACAGTGGACGAATAATGGCTAAAATGATGATGTTGAAGTAACAAACATACAAACCGCTAAACATTCAAACATTTTTATAATTTTCATATTTGTAATATGAGTAGAATAAATATTTTGGTGTTTACGCAGTTAAGCAGCTATGAATATAAACTGGAGGAACCATAAAACATAAACTTAATATATTATCTAATAAAAACAGTTGTCAAAATACATATATCAAAAAGAATATTAAAAAAATATTATATATATATATATATATATATATATATATATATATATATATATATATATATATATATATATATATATATATATATATATATATATATATAAAAGCCAGCTGACAGTAACAACTGTGTTTCGTTAAAATATGAAATATGGCAGGGAAATTACAGATAATACTTTAATCCTTAGAAATAGCAACGCGTATAATTAAAAAATTGCCAAATTAAGTTAATAATACATATTGATTATACGACAAGACAATAATATATAATATATTGAATATACAAAATATCACCTAGTTTATTAAGAGATGCGTTATTTACATCCGACTTCAAAAAGGAGTTTTTCAATTCGGTTGTATTTTTTTATGTTTATTACCTTCCGTCAGTCCGTTATTACAATCCGTCAGTTGTAAACCGATTTGATTTATCTAAAAGGATATATTTACAGATTGGTCTCTCAAAAATTTTATCAAAATTAATTTAATAGTTTAGTTTTTAAATCTAAATAACTGGTTTTGCTATAACTGATATCGGATTTTTTAGTGAAAAACAATTTCATTATTTGTGATAGAAACAAAACTTAATTCACTAATCTAATATATATTCAGGTTAACGTATGTACGTTATAGTTAAACTGTATGTTTTCGCCTCTATGTAGCCATTTTATATATTTATTTTACGAGTATTTTATTTGTTTTCCACAGACCGTAGCCATTATTCAGGTCGTTAACCCACATACAGAGTACGGTCAAACGAACGACAACAAACAAAGTATCGAATTAAAAAGTTAACAAGAAGCTATGTTCAATATTTGAGAAACAAACAGAGAGTTTACGAAATACTGGGATATTTATTCAATAGTCTAGAACTTTTGACTATTCAAATTTGTTTTACTGTTAATCAATCAACTTTTTCACACAGAAAATATCAGTTTTCAAATCAATATCTGCTCATCGATGATACATCAATCATGCATCATTAAAAGCAAATAAAAATAGTAATAATAGATGAAATGCTAAAAAATAGATTTTATAATTTGCACTTGATATTACTCGAGATTTTATCCGTGTGTTCGGAATATATTCATTCACTCCACGCGGTTCTCCCTGGAAACCATCGTGGTTAATTTCTGTAGAATTTGTCATGGTGGGCTAATTGACCTGCTTTCATGCTTATCTATCATATCTCATGGGTATATCATATACTGATAACGCATGAAAGGTTACTATTCTATTATAGAACCATTAAAAACCCAGTAAAACCATAATGAAATGTTACGGTCATAAAAATTTATGATACTGAAATATATTTAACTAATATTTCTTGCGCATAAAAGAAAAAGATTATTTCTCATACATGTTAATAAACGATCCTGTTTGGCTGCAGGCGATTTATTTAATTAAGTTATAAATTACACCCTCGGTATATATGCATCAAATACTATAAGAACAAAAACAAAACAAAAAAAAGAAATTGTCAGGTGTTAATAAATATTTGGTTAAAAGTGACAATAAATAATTAAGAAAATTGTATTGCGTCACGTCAGTAAAGCAAAAAAATTTTGTAAGATACAAACTTTATGTCTTTATGCCAAATGTCTCATAAATCTATGTCAGCTATTGAAGTTGTCTCTTACTTTTGTATTAAAGTTCCAATTTGAAGGAAGTTGGTAAAACACTTCAATAGCTAATATAGGTTTAGTTTTTTATAAATAAGGAAGTAAGGCTAGAAAGTTGAAATTTGGAACATAGCTTGATTTTATAAAAAAAATTTTAAAGACTTTCAACTTAAAAAGGAAAAACGGCAACACGCGTGCAAAGCCACGGGCATAAGCTAGCCTTTTAAAATGTATTTACATAAAATTAGACAATTGGGATTGTGATTTAATTTTGTATGTTTGTCGTTTCGTAAAGTAGGTTTAATAAATTCTCGTTGACCAGTTATCTCACTGATATACTAAAATTGAAACTAGACTTTGTCTGTACATGGAAGGTTTAAAAAAAAATATATGAGGGATTGTAATTAAATCAATAGAAACTAAAACAATAATTTTCAAACATCTTATCTGTCTGTTCATTTGTATGTTTATTCCGACATCAGGCAAAAACTACTGTATAAACTGGATGTAGTTTTAATTGTGTTTGTGTTCCTGAAAATCTAACTTAAAAACTGATATATGTTTTATCGTGATACGCCATCCAACTATAGAAATATAAAACTATAGTCTATTTCATTGACTGTTTCTGAAATACACACGTAGAAAGAAGCAGACAAAAGGCTAGTATACAATTGTATTTAAAAAATTAAAATACATTTTAAAAATATAATTTCACATTTCTAAACTCACAGTTCCAGCATGCGGCATCGTTGAGTAAGTCTATAAAAAAATTACGGCAAAGGTGTTACTTGCGATGTATGTGATCAGCGACCATGATAACTTCCGCACATAAATCACAAAATATTATATCATGAGAATCAGCGGCTCGGTCGAGTTTATTTTTTGCTAAACCGCACCCATTTTAATTAAACCACATCAAGGAAGTGAGTCAGTAGTTAAAATGGAGCACACCTGTACATCATAAAATTAAAAAGATTGTGAAAAAACTTTTATCAGACATCGGTTTGGACAGGTAACATAAAATCTATTAGATGACGCTACGTACAACACAAAATCTGAGTAGGTTTAGATATTTGGATAGAAAAATAGGCCAGTTCTACATAAGCCAAATGTTTTTATCAGAGGGAGACCTTGTACAAAAGTCGATTGCTTGAATACCTCTGTCCCATACGTGTTTCAACCGTAAAGCAGTTGTGTTTGCATGGCTGTGTTTCGGTTTGCGTGGCGTGAATTTACAGGGTACAGAGGAATAACACCTAAGTCCTCAGGAATGGCAGCGCATGGGGGGTATCATGGGCGAAACAGTATACTCTGTTATGTCCATGATACTGCTCATGTCTATAGGCAACGGTTAACACTTTCCATCAGGTGGGCCGTCAGCTTGTTTGTAATTCTGAGTTGTATAAAAAAAAAGTTTATCCATTTGGGAGATAAAAGTGAAATTTTTTATTCCCCATTGGTAAAAATGAATGGAAATTCATTCCCACTTATACCTACCGAGCGTTTTTTTACAAGTATACTTCTATACATAAATAAGTAGATATTAATCTTTTTCCAAGTAAGTACCACATAAACAGACCATTCACCTGGTCATCAAGCTAGAATTATCTGTGTTATATAACTACATATGAATCAGTCAACGAATATCTTGGGGTACAATCCAGAATACCCGGAATTGAGCCAATTTAGAACAAATCATTTTCTAAATTGACCCAATCAAGAATCAAACCGGGACTTCATTACAAAAATCAAAGTGCTTGCCGCTGCACCACAAAGGTCATCGTTTTCCAGTAATCTCTTTGATAAAAATAACGTTATTTATAAAAAGCTTTTTAACGAAAAATTAAACGTCTGACAGATTGACATGACAGGATTCAAACCCACGTCTCTTTGTGAAGTGTTAAATTTATGACATTTAATAATAGATAATATAATCTATTATTATTATTAGACAAGACTATGTTTTGAAGGAAGAGTGAAGTGTCTACGAAACCGACGTGCATGCTTGAAACGTGTCATTAAAAATGGATAAAGTAAGAGATGCATGAAGAGACCTTTAGCACTTGGTTCTCTTCGCAAATGGTTTAACGTTAAATATAGACAGACAAAAACTTAACTAATTAATCATTAATTTAATTAATTAAATATTACAATGTGCAATTAAAATCGTTAGCTTCCTTCTAAAAGAGTATTCTGCCAGTAAAACAAAAGATTTCCACAAAAGAAACGACAGAAAGCTTTAAGCCTATTACGCATATTAACACGGCATATCTACTTGTTAAGTTAGTATATGAGGTTTAGAGATTTTTTCCTTGTATTTGAATTTTTGACTCGTGAAATTTCTGTCTTATTACGTTCTATGTTCATCGTCGTGAGAAGCAACTAAGGGAATGTAATGGTCTAGAGATGGACAGCTTCCCGCCTGCCAAGGGTTGAAAATACTCACAAAACCCGCCAATAGAGGGAGTTATATGTTCAGCAGTGAACAATTAATGGCTGATATGATAATGATGATGATGATCTAACATCTAAGAAAACTATTATTCATCAGTATATACTACAATGTATATACTTACCAGTCACCGTATTTCCGTCGACTCGTGTTCTTCGTTCTCCAAACGATCATTATTCATATAACACTAACATGTACATATGTCACAACACAATTGTCACCTTCTGTTCCCGGTGTAGGCCGACGAGTGCACGCCGCACATAATCTTTTTTTTTTTTTAAGTTGCCACACTGCACTCTGTATGGATGTTTTATCTGCAACAAAAAAAAATTGTATCAATATAAAAGTTTTATTACTATTATAACTGTTGAATAATCATTAAAAAAAACTATTTAATCTGTGTATGGGATGTAAGTTATGAACAGGTGAAATTCAGCTACCCTTAAAAAGGTAATTATTACGATTTCTTCCTAATTATATTAATATATTTAAAATATATATATGTTTTTTTTTTAATATATTTCTAATATTAATATCTCATATCCTATCCAAATTGTAAGTTCAATAGGAAACAGCGAAGTAAATCAAACCTCAGTACAGTACACTATCGGCTTTTCATATCTGTAAGTAATCTTGATTCAGTCAAATCAAACGCGATTAGATCGCGATTGTTGGTGCCGATTCCCAATTGTTTGTTTACGTTAAGCCGATACCGATGTTACTAAAAAGTGAAGCATTAAATGAAGCTGTTTTTGTATGATCTTGATAGTGACAAAGCAAAAAAAATGCAGACGAAAAAAGTTCTCAAACCGATTTCTTGTTGTTTGTACTCATAAATCAACGATAAAATGCTTTATATTAAACACTGGGGTTTTCCAATGATTTCATTTAAGTAACAAGGATAATATTGATTGGGATGAAAATAAACTGTCATTTTATGACGATGGGTTCAGTTGTTAAGACGGAAAGATGTAAAACAAAACTACTTAAATTAATTCGAATTGTTCAAACTTACATTCACATAATATTACGAATAAGGACTAAGTAATAATGTATTATAGTGGTATTAATATTATTTTAAAATATATAAATATAATAGGTACATACTTGCATTACATAATACACATACAGTACAAACCTATGAATAAGATATTAAACATTAGTTACAAATTTTGATTCTCGATTATTGTCAAGATTTTAGGAATGACCAAAATTATTAAAATACCATACCATATATTAAATGTTAATGCGCTTAATAAATTATTATTAATATTTTCATGATTTTATATAAATTTTTTTATGCGACTTCAAAAAGAAAAATGATTTTGTTATAGCTTTTTTTTCATATATTTAACAATATAAAATATATACAAACTATCTTATCCTATTATAAATATCACGATTTAGAGTAATGTTATGATTACTTAATTATTTCCCCATTGAGATATAAAATTGTTTAAACCACGAAATATTTCAGTCCTGCTATTATCATAATGTAAAACATATCGTAAAATTATTAAATTATCACTTGATGATATTTTTACTGCAGAAGTAAAACTTTAACATTTCATAAAGATATTTAAAATGAATAAATATTATTAATAAAATTTAGTTCATAAACCATATGATTATTGCTTGTAAAATTTCTTATTGTAGTTTTAATTTGGCTTTTTTATATGACGTACGTATATTGCCTTACTACGAAATTTTTCTAATTAAACTCACGCAATGAACTAAGTTCTCAACATATTATATACTTAACTACCACCAAAATGCTTAATTAAGCTGCTCTTAACAACATAATCGTAATGCAACGCAAAGTACCATACGTAAGCCCTTAAATGTAAGGTCAGTAGTAAATAGCAATATGTCAAGGCACAACAATGGACCATTCATGGCATTTTTATATGTACAGAAGCGTTAGTAAGTGGGTAATTACTAGGTACATACCGTTAGCTGCTTAGACTGTTTGTAGACTGAAAATGTGTGTTAGTACCAGGAATAGTATTGTTGGTAGACAGAATTATGTGTTCTCATATTTCTTTTATTCTTTTGTAATGACTTACTGTATGAATTCTAAAATAAATTATTTATTTATATATTTGAATGCATAGAATGAACTATGTATGTTCTACAAAAGAAACTGCAACTACTATTTTGACAAAATTATTATGAGAGTAATATATAAGCATGATGAAAATCAATGTCAAATTGATAAAGACCTAGAGTATACATATAAAAAATTACGTCGAATAATCAATAATTTTTTAACCAATGAAAAAAATTTTAAAATAAAAAAAATGTTTTTGTATTTTGTTTAAGCAATTCCAAAATTCTTATTTTAAACTAAAGTATTCAGATCCGATCTGGTTTCATGATTTTATCAAGATTGATGATGTATTTTTTGTTGTGTGTGAAAAAAAATAATTCTTGTGTACATCGCTATCTATGCCTATCTATATGTACTATGTAAATATTTTCTCTAATTACCACATCTTAAATTACAAAGGTCGCTAGATGACAGCACTGACAATTTACTGTTTCAGTCGAGATAAATTCTTAATTTGACATTAATAGTTAACAATGAGTTAACGTATTAGATATTTTTATGCCTAACACCTTACAAACTATTAGAAAGGTAAAAAAATCTGTTTTATACTAAAACGACAATAAGAACCGCGTTATTATCAATTGGAGACTTTCGTCGAATTCCAAACCAGTTAGAGATAAACCTGATCCATGCATAGCTAATATGACTTTCAAGTTCATGAATGAGTAACAGTTGGAACACGTGATTTTAGTTACTGTTGATATGCCTAAAGATTCTAAATGAAAACAGTTTTTCTTAAAGAAATCCAGCAGATTGAATTGTCAATTACTAAAAGACTCTTTAGAAATAATCAGTCATTACCTCATTATTATTATATGTGACCAATTAGATATAATATTATTAATCAAATATGAAAATCATACAAATACTTATTTGAGTAATGATTTATTTTGTGATTGAAAAAAATTTCCGAAGGGTCTCAATAATATTTTAAGAATAATTTGCCAAAATTATAAGTTAAAAATATTTTTAAAATATTTATATATTTATTATATAGTACCAACTATAAAGTACTTATAGTAGGATAAGTAATTAAAGGAAGGATATAGGTATTAGGCTCATATTATGGACTTGATCAGTGAGAACTGATCATAAAAAAGTGTATTTGTAAAAGTGCTAAGCCGTTTCTTATTCAATATTATATTTTGAAAAGAAAATCGACAAAAATGTTTACCCATCGTACATTAACACAGCGTGTTTAGTTAAGTTTGTAGCCCAGTTGTACTAGTAGTAGGAGGTTTAATTTTTTTTTTACATTAAATATCTTATAACATGGATAGATTCTTCATTTTACATCCCGCTAACGTCTTTGACTTAAATCAAATTTGTAATTTTCTGCAGAGGACAATCATAAAATTGAGAATTACCTAAGTACCATACAAACAATAGACCAAAAATAATCAAAGTCCTCGGTCGACTGATTCGTTAGATCATAACAGCCACATGTGGCGTTAACAAACTTTTTTTCCTAAAGTTCACTGACTCTACCCTTTAATGACTCCAACACACCTGGCTGGTACAATTGTTAGTAGAAATAAGTAAGAATTTTCTATATTAAACGAGCTGGCGGTTTCTACTTTCACTCCACGAGCTTTGCCCATTATATGTGAGCTTGTCATTGTTTGAAATGATGTGGTTACTCGTACTTAAGTAACAACAATGACTTAAATGCGATGGTCCAGTAACAAAACATGATAAACTAAGTAGACATTATAGAAGAGATACTTCAAAATAAAGAGTCAATGATGCTGTAATTTGGATAGTGGGCGCAATCGTTTCATCAGTAAGCTTTGTTAATCGATTTAACTGTTTAAACATAAATTTACGATATGTCAACAAATATTGAATTTTTAGGATTTATTCGTTTCGAGTGGGCGTGACAACGTCATAAATTGAGTTTTTGTGACATTGTCACGCCTACTCAGAATTGTCATACAAAATGTAAAATTTTCTAACCATAAAGCTAGTCATAATTATTTGATTTATACCATTGCCTTGTGCAGTACTCCCGGAAAGTAAATCTAGTTACAGATGTCCGTTTAATTAAAATCCATGTAGTAATTTTAGATACAGGTTGAGTTAATTATTCCAACACTTGCACAGGAGACGCTCAAAAAATATTATCTATTTTTTAAGTTTACCTTTTTTCGTTAATTAGGTTTTTTTTTAGAAACATTACAAAAACTGTTGCTATGAATGAACGAGAATTATTCATTCTCTTGTTTTGTAGTGTGCTTATCGGTACTTACAAGTGGTCTCCACTTCAATGCTTTAATAATTATAAGAGCTCCTTAAAACTACTTGCGTGGGCTTTATAAATTTAATAATTAATTTAACAAACAAAATTATCAAGCACGTTACTGTAAGTACCGCGAGTATAACATTAGTAAAATACCACCCACTCACTAACTGGTAAAACACAAAATATCAAAAAGTACTTGAGCTAAGAAGTAAGTATGTAAGTAATTTTTAAAAGTTTTTAATCCAGGAACGTCAACAGCATACTTGTATTTCATTGTAGCATTCACAATAAACATGAAATATATTAAAATATTAATGTATATACCTATTAAAGGTATTTACAACATTAGTTTTTATATTTATTTGCTTACAATTCTTTGAAAGACATATCAATTCCGTTGCCAAGAAATTTTATAAATTTGCTCTTAACATTGTTGCAACAATGACATGAGAGTAGACAGTAGGTATACATTATTTATAAGTCACTTATAAGTGGCTGATCATCCAGCCTTTTGGATTGAACTGAGATATGGATTCCATGATATATTTATTTGTAAATAACCGTCTCTCATACTTTTATTTACTCACTCTCATGACGTAGGCGTTATTATAATATTATACAATGAAGCACGACACGCGGTATCTGCGATTTTATCATCATGATATTAGGAAAACAAAATGTATGCAATTGTATGAACCCGCTTTTAATTTTCCACGATACCGCGATGTTTTGTTCAGAAGAACAAAATGTATCTATCGTAATGATACAATCCTTATTATATATATATATATATATATATATATATATATATATATATATATATATATATATATATATATATATATATATATATATGTACAATAAACTTTACACATTATATGAAAGATTTACCGTGATTATATTTTTGTGGCTTCCGATATTTCGATGCTATTACCTGTGACCAGAATGCTTGTAAACTAGTT